ACAATTTCTTTATTATATAAAAAATCAGGATGTTACATTGGGCGAGTAACCTTCCACAATTAGAGAATAGGCCTAATCCAATCACACAGGTTGGTCTTATATAATTTCATAGCTCATGGATTCAATCATAAGAGATAAGGAGAGGAATAAGGATGGAATACATATAATCATGCATAATTATCATCATTGCATTTATGTCTTGTGATTAATGATAAATAGTCTGATGATACATGTTGAACATTGAAGGTATGTTAATTGTGATTTCTTGCCTTATGTGCTTGTATTTTTCACACTCTTATGTGCTTAAATTTGTGTGCCTGAGTTATTGAAATTATATAATATCACTCTTGTTGTTTAATACTTTTTTAGAAAACACTAAATGCGAGGCTAAAGGGGAGCATCAGAAACTAAAGATGCTTAACTTCATTTGTAAAGTTTTTATTTTCTTAGTTTGTATAATTAAATACTAATTACTGCCAACATTAGGGGTTTGCACTTGTTAGTAGGTCTATTGTTTTTGCATGAGCCTAATTGGCATCTTAGACAATCCTTGTTATGGCATTACTATATTTTTCTGTAATGTAAACTAATCAAGCAACTGTGTGATTAAATTATGATTGTCAAACGAATTGGCAAGTTAAAGAGTTAAGCAAGTGTAGTTAATTATGACTTATGTTGCTTATAGTTGTGATGACTAGTGTCAGCTAGTTTTAGAGGGGAGATACTTGATTGATAAGTTGTAATTATGACAAGCATGTTAGCCCCAAGCGTTCCAGGATCCTCATTTAGTATTGAATTGAATTGTAACTGAAGCCACTGGTTAAAGTTCTTAATTATCTGCATGTGGGCAGTTAGACTACTTTAATCGAAGGCTCGGGTAATTAATTAGGCTATTTGAAAGTTTAAATTAAATGCTATCGTTATTGTGTTGTACATGAGGTTGCATTGTGGCGGAATGGCCGCCATACCATTAACCATGACAAGCATGCACTTTGCCATAGCAAATATGTGATTTATGGTTGGCCATGGCTAACTGCTTTCTTTTGGGGTTAGTTATTGCATACGTATTTAGAATTTAAAAAATGTCCATTTTGCTCTTGTTGTTTTATTTTCTAATGCTCAACGTAGACTTTCAACTATGCCTGGGTTTACTAGGTTTCTTCAAGTGCCACTAGAGCTAGTTCATATTGTGTGTCATGATTGATCCAAGACAGAGCATATAAAGGGTATGCAATTAGGATACTCTTTGAATTTTCTTGTTTATTTAAAAAGAAGTGTTAGGACACTTATTATAAATTGGAACTAACTATCATGTCTATCTCAATTTATAAAATAAATTTATATATAATATTGCTATCAATAAAATTTATTAAATACACTCTTATAATTTTATTTTTTAAGATAAATATATAAATTTTAAAATATCCTTAATTCAATATGATTAAAGAGAGAAAATAATAAAGAGGGAAAGTAACATTGAAAAAGTACATTCAATTAAACTTTATTTTTATTAAATTATCTTATATTTTAAGATATTAAAATTATCTCTAAAATTATTTTATAATTTGTGATGAAAATAATATACACATAAATGATTAAAAAAAGTGGCAAGTAGGAGTTTAAATGACATGCTTAGAATCCTAAGGCAGAGCCAATTATGAGTGGTATGGTGTGATTGGATGGTGATGCTGAAAGTCCATAACATCTGTTCCTGCCTATTTAATGCCCTACGTCCCGTCACATGGAAGGAGGGATGGCATTTGAACAACCCTCAATGGTGAAGAAGCCATTTTTGACCGCGAGATCCACCCTTTTATTTTACTACCAATCCACACCGCTAGCTCCACCGGTCCGTCTCTGTATGTTCTTCAATTTATGACGTCCATATTACCACAATGGGATTTGAAGAATTCTGATCCCATAAGCCATAACCTAACTTAACTCTGCTTCCTTCCTACCTTCTCTCGTCTCCTTCTCGACCCCACGTATTTGTCTTTTTCACTCATAGATGTCCTCTTTGAAACCACACCTACATGCCTATATATGTAGATGTGTTCTCAGGATGTTTTGTGTCATTGCTCAGAAAAAGAAAAGCTTTGAGAAAATTGTTGTGCTTGTGGGCAATTGCAGACAATGGTCGGTATCATGTCGTTGATAACAGGGTGGCCAGGCCCGAGTGGGTTTGGTTCTGCTTCAACTGCAGAGAAGGTCACCGAAGGAATCGATGCCTCCAATCTCACTGCCATTATTACAGGTCTGTTTCATTGTAGAAGTAATCTTCCCCTTTGAAGAAAAAGACAATAATAACCGGTAATGCAGGAGGAGCGAGTGGAATTGGCTTTGAGACAGCAAGAGTTTTAGCTCTTCGAAAGGTGCACGTGATCATTGCTGCAAGAAATATGGAAGCTTGCAAGACAGCTAAGAATCTTATTCTGCAGCAAAACCCGTCCGCTCGTATCGATATACTGAAGCTCGACCTTTCCTCGGTCAAGTCTATCAGAGCATTTGTTGACAACTTCATCGCTCTTGATCTTCCACTCAACATATTAATGTGACTTCCAGTACTCTCTCTTCAGTTTGGGTTTATTTCTTTTGAACTAAAGCGTTGGTCTTTCGTTTCAGAAACAATGCTGGAGTTATGTTCTGCCCTTTCCAACTCTCACAGGACGGGATTGAGATGCAGTTCGCAACAAATCATATCGGTAATGTCTCGTAAATCATGCCCGCCGTTACTGGCTTTCAATCTGATTCGTAGTGTTCTCTCTTCCCTTTCACTTCTCAGGTCATTTCCTGTTGACCAATCTTCTTCTTGACAAAATGAAACAAACTGCAAAAGCCAGTGGAATCGAGGGAAGGATCGTGAATCTGTCTTCAATTGCCCATAACTATAGTTACCCAAAGGGAATTCGATTTGAGAAGATCAATAATCGAAACGGGTACGTTTCACTTTCAATATGATACTGCAAATGAGTAATTTTGCTCACGGCAGTGGTGGTAAATCCATGAATAAGTAACTAGAACACCTTAATCACATTACCAGCTGCGTAGAATCTACTCAGATGATTGAAAACAGGCATTATGTTTGTTTTAAAGATAAATTAAAAGGATTTAAATCTTAAAAACAGTCATAAAATATTTTTCACAATGCTATTACTTTTCAGTTACTGTGACAAGAAAGCATATGGGCAGTCCAAGTTGGCTAACATCCTTCATGCAAATGAGCTAGCTCGCCGCCTGCAGGTTATGCTATTAGTGTTTTTATCAGTTCCATTTAGTTTCTGTTCAGAGTTGCAATGATTTTTTAGTTTCGACGTGCTCATTGTGAATTTAGTCGTTTATTTGACTTCGGTTCTTGAAATCATGTGCAGGAAGAGGGGGCGAACATTACAGCCAACTCAGTCCACCCAGGAGTGATAATGACTCCTCTCATGAGACACTCCTCCTTCCTTATGCGTATGTTTATGTCTCCTGCATCACCAATTAGATGGGTGCATGGCTGCTTTTCCATTTTTGCTTATTTTTGTCTAATGCCATTGTTGTACAATCTGAACCAGATCTTCTGAAAGTGTTCACCTTTTACATATGGAAGAATGTCCCACAGGTAAATTCAACATATTCATCTATGTAATTTTAAAATTTTAATACACTAGAAGTAATATCTTGGTTTTGATTAACGTGGCAGGGGACAGCCACAACATGCTATGTTGCTCTGCACCCAAGCATGAAAGGCGTGAGTGGGAAATACTTTCAGGATTGCAATGAGCACAGGCCAAATTCTTATGCCAGAAACCAAGTGCTAGCCGCCAAACTCTGGGATTTCAGCAACACGGTCATCAATTCACTTTCCAAGGCTTAGCTTCAATCCCACTTGCTGTTCGGTGCTTCATTGGAATTATCAGCTCTCCCTATGAATAACATGCCCCATATAGTTTACAACTGCAATTGCTGCCTTTCTATATCGTTCATTGAATGTTTTTAATATTTTCACTTGTAAGTTTTTTTTTTTTTTTTACTGTTATTTGTGCTTCATGTCTCTGAAAAGCAATCTAATACCATAATAAATTTACTCCTTCATAATTTCTCCGCCTCTTCTTATAAGATAACTTTGAAAAGATTTTATGTTTTTATTTATAAGGAGATCTATAAAATCTAAATAATAATAAATGTTCTTTTTTTTCAAAAAAAACCATTAAATACTTTGCTTGGTTTGTGTAAGTAATCTTGTGAGATTTATCCTTAGGATAGATATGGATATTCAGTCAACTTCTATCGTAAAAATTCATTTATCAAAGGTACCAGAAGCAAAGAACATAGCACGAACTCTGTATTTCAATTCTTGACTGTATAGTATATTTGAGAAGAAGAATTGGAATCTAACTAGTCAAAGAAAGAAGATGAAGGGGTATGAAAACGGATGGATCCGTTAAAGTGATTAATGTCATGTGTATTTTTTTTAAATAAAATAATTTAAAAATATTCACATCAAAATGGCTGGGCAGGACGCGAGAGCTTCAATAGTGCTTGCAAATGCATTGACATGAACCGTTCACATAAAAAGAAAAATTGTCAGAAAAGAAAATGAAAAAGAAAATATTATTCTTCCTTATATGTGGATGAGCAGGAGAAAATAAGGTAGAAAAAAAAAAGAGCAAATAACATAATGACTATGATACTTTCATATCAAAATATGTTATGTTTCATACAATTATTTTTACAAAAACAAATTAAAAGGAAAAATTATATTAAAATTAGCTTCATAAAAAATTAAAATCAATCTGTTCATTAAAAACATATTATTGTATTATTTTAAAACCAAATAATTTACTAAAAATGTATTATTTTATTTAATATTAAAAGGAGATAATTTATTAAAAATAAATATAAATCATCCATAAAGTACAGTGGGACATCGTAGCTTCTGACAAAGAAAAAAAAAGAAGAGCATGAGAGAGGTGTTTTGCATAAGAGAGAGACAAAGTGCAAAGATGGGGGAAAAAAAGTAGAAAAGAGGTCACACAAGAAATAATAAATTTCTTCCCAAAATCTTTCCATATGGAGAGAAAACTTGGGAAGAAAATATAAAGTCCCACCTTCTATTTTTTTACCTACTTTTCCTTCCTCTCATTTTTCTTTCCTTATCCAGAGGAAAATTTGCTTTCTTTCCAGTTTTTTCCCTCATACTTTCTTTCCTCTCACATTTTCTATTAAAACAAACAAAGCAGAAATCCATTTACCAGTGGAGGAAAATGATTCCTAGGCCACCTTGAGAGCTAGGAACAGAAAGCTGCCAAACGATAAGCTCAATGAAGCAAGCATAGTTAGAAGCATTGCCTGCAAAGAGAGGTGTAAGCTCAGAAAGAACACCATAGCAATTGAAGGCTGAAGCGCTTTGCCATATCTTTAACTGTGCAAATGCTCCTTCCTACTCCAATGCCAACATAAATACTCATAAAGATGTGCATGCATGTTCCAAATGAAGATCAAACATGAACATCACAATCTATCATTTGGAGAGAAAAAAAGTGTATCACGCTTTAAACTTTACCGAGTCATGCTTGAAAAGCATTCCTAGCAAGGCACTTAATTGTGTGTTTAAAACTCCATCACCGTCCCCAACAAGGCAGCCAAAAAAAGTAGGTATAGAGTATTGAGTTCTCCACTAGCCATGCTGCATCGTGAGTGGCAATGAGCAGAATTGGCATGATATAATTACAGGAAACAGGAAAATATCAGAGACTTCAAATTCTAAATAACAGATTTTAATACGGAAATTTTATCTAGTAGAAGCAAGATAAAAACAACTGCCTGGACAACACAAACTATTGACGTAATTGATGGGAGACCAGAAATAAGTCGACCAGCAGCCAGAGAACACTGACATAATTACGAAAATTAAGAAAAAAATAAACAAATACTGATACATCTAGTTAAAAGTATATGTTAACATGCCAAGTGCTAATAGAAAAGGAACACATTATGTCCTTCATCCCCTGCTCTTCAAAAAAAAAAAAAAAATTGCCTGTATTAATATGTACTCACCCAATTAATTAGCTTCAGGTTGCCTCTACGGAGAAACCATCAAATTATTACATTTTCATACTTACTATTCCATCAAGTGCCCCATATACAGCCATTGCAATACCCACGCCAGAAACACCAAGTGCTGGGATTACAGCATACTTGGTAAATTCAGCCCTATGACAGCAACCATATTTACATTAATAAACAGGATATAAAGAACCAAAAGACAATCAGAAGATAAAGAACCACTATGGGAAGAACATGAGAATGGATTCCTAGTATGCACCAAAATTACCACACAAACGCTTGTTGTAGTCCTGAGTAAGCAATTAAGGGCACGACCAACAACATCCTTACATCAGACAATGCACTGGCAAGTGATCTGAATAGAGACTTTATGGATGAATGAACGCTAACACCAGCATCTGATGGTTCATCATCTTTCATACTATTGCCACTCCTTATACTCAAGAAGCACATTAGTATAATACCTAAGATTATCATACAATGAAATACAGGGAACAATGAATTTGTGTTGCTGGTGCTTCCATCCTGCAGTGATAGGAAACGAATTCAGTAAGTTTTATGAATTACTTAATGCTCAGTTGTGTTTGTACTAGAAGCGAGTGTTTATTGCTTGAGGGTAGAAGGGAAAACCCAGCTTACATTTACATATTCTTTAAATCTTTTACATAGTGTACACATTACATATTTTCAAGGAGCATAAATGAAATATGTAAGATTTCAAATGAACAAGATAGCAGAAATATACAGCAATCTTTACACAAGTATATCAACACCATAAACCTGAACGATCATAGCACTGTATTCCTTAATCTTTTTTGTTAAATCAAAATCAATCTCAAAAGTAGGTAAGTGTATGCCTACCATTATCACTTTGATGTGGGAAAAAAAAAATTTGGACCGAGGGTTATGCAATAAGGACACGAGGCAACAATTATGAACCCATAAGAGAATAGAGACAAAAGGATATTTGGGAGAGTTGTGCCAATAAGTAAAGACCAGCCCAAGAAATGACAAGCTTGTCCATTTTTCAGAAGAGCAAATGTGAGGAGATTGCCGACGAACTGCAAAACAATGTTTTATACATTAAGACTTGTCTACAAGAGGAGTTGCTTCTTTATTTGTTTTTACTAGGGAAAAAATAACAAATTTATTCAGCTAAAGTAGGATCATAGCCTGGTGTAGTGCATGCATTGCCCAAAATACCCCAACGAAGCCACTGATCACTGCTGGTTCATGCAAATTCCAATGCCTGGCATGATCGCAGGCAGTGGAAGAGAGATATGTCCCCTCAAAGGTGAAATAAAGATCAACAAAAGCAAATGTAACTCCATGAAGAATAAGGAATTTACAACCTTGACATGTTACACCTGTCCAACAACCCATATTATTGAAGCACTAAACCCAATATACAAAGAGGCTGGAACCATCGTATAGGAAGAACTCAAATAGTAAAAAGCTCATTATAATAACATCATTTCAGCACACATAGTCATGAAGCATCACAAAAGCTATGCCAAAAAACTATACAATACAAAATGAGCTACAATTCGAACAAGCACTGAATTATCCATTCTTCTACCGGCATTGATAAAATAAAATAAAATTGGTTAATGGATTCAAAATAACATAAAAGATTGTTAGTTTGAGGGCATGTAACAGATACCCGCTCTGTTACTTGGAAAATAATAATTGATTTAGCCACCTAGACTAGCTCAGGTGGCTAAAATAGTGTAGGTGAGAGAAAAAATCTAAAATTCAAACTCTCACAATTAAAATAAATAAATAATAACCAATTTTAACTCATCACAATGTCACTGTCAAAACTCAAAGGAATTCCTTCCTACACAGTGCTTCTTTCAACTTTTTGTCCCGCGCAAATTCGATTTTGGTGAAATGAGTTTGTTAGCTCAAAATAAAAGTTATTTTTCAATAACAGTAGCCCCACCATTACTTGTAGTAATTAACTTTCACAAAGAGCTTATTGATTACCATACTTTTCAGGTGACTTGTTATGCTAAAAAATATGCAATTTCATCCTAAAACAAAATAGAGGCGACTTCCATGTACTGCGTAAAGTCGGATATAAGTTGAGTCAAATTATATTGTTCACGTCTTGTGCGGCTATTGATTATTTCATTCACCGCGTCCAAAGTGTTGCGTCCGCAATATGGACCATGCTTTTGAGTTTGAAACACCCCTTCCTCAGATAGTCTAAACAAAAGATAAGGAGAGATTACTGATTCAGCTTCAAGTTTGCGGCTACGAAAACCCAATGACCAGTTGTCCCAAGAGCCACGGCATTGTTTGACCCAAATACTCGCACTATCAAAGAAGAAACCGCGGAGTAAAATGTGAAGGATAAATACAATATCCCAAGTGAAATTGTACCCAGATTTCGCTCCTGGCATGAAATCAAGCCAACAGAGTCATGAGAAAACTCCAAATCAGAAACAGATTCGCAATACAGAATATCAATTTTGAACTGAAGAATGTCACCGGACAAAACCACTTACCAAATGGACGAGGGATAACAATTCACAGAGACTCAGTGTTTAAAGTACTTCGCAAATTCTGAGCAGCCCCATAGGCAAGAAAGATCAGTAAAAATGACAGACTCAGGACACACATCTCTGGGGTAATCCTTGGGCGTTTGAGGTGGCGGAGCATTGGTAACGAGTAGTGCCTTTTCCTCGTAAGGCACTGGAGATGCCATAGCTTGCAGCTCGCGATCCAAGTTATGGCAGGAGGAAATTGAAATGGAAGGATGTCCGATCATAACCCGACATTATGTTTGGCGCTGACGGCAGAGTTAGGGATATTTTATTTCTGTTTTTTATTTTTTTGTTTTAAAAATTAGTTCATAAATATAATTTTAAAATAAAATAAAAAATGTGTTTGCTTATATTAATTTAAAAATAAATTGATGACAATAGTCATAACAGTTAATAATAATAATAATAATTATTATATAAATTAATTAAGATAATTGTAATTCCTAATAATAATATGTAATACATTTTGAAGATAAGAAAAATAAAATATAAATAAGTTGAAGTTGTTTCTTTTTTTATCTTTAAAAAAATTGAAAATATTTATATAAATAAATTTTTGTTTTAAAAAATAAAAATAATTTTTAGAAAAAGAAAACAAAATACTCTAAATAACCTCAAAAATTGGAAATTTTTGTTATTCTCACAACATCATGATGATTAATACATTATTCTTATTTTAAACTTTTACTTAAAATATTAGTGCTTTTTCCCTTGATCTATATTGTCTTAATGAATATTCTCTATTTATGTTAGTAATTTGTAAAATAAAAATTGATAGAAATTATTGCCCAAATAAAATTCTTTGACTATTATTATTATTATTATTATTATAATATAAATTGTGAATGTGATTTGCACAAAATCCTGGGTTTATCTTTGGCCAAAAAAAAAATCTCGAGTTATGATCCTTGTTTAGAATATGAATATGGATATGGATTTTTTTTCCCCCCACAGATTTCGCATATACTAATATATATTAACTAAATTATTAAAATATAATTAATCTTTTTTATAATTAATATATGTTTATTTGTCTACACGTGTAACTTCCGTGACACCTCATGGAAAAACGGCTAAGGTGGACGTCGCCGGAGCGCAGTGCAGCCACGTTGCATGATATTACAGGCTGCTTACCTGGGTCCCATCACGTTTATCCATTTGTCTTCTCGTCCCTTCCGAAAGATTGTGACGACAATTTTATATTTTGCTTTTTTCCCCGGAATTTTAATGAAACTCATCGCTCCTCAGCCTCCAAAAGTTAAATCTCGCCCGGGAACCAAGCCTTTCGTCTGAGTTCGTTGCCGCCGTGAGCGTGGCAAACCAAACCCTAACCCTATCGCATCCACGTTTATCATTCAGATCTAATCGGATAAAGGACTTCAGTATTCTTGACGAATCTCAGATCTGTAAATATAATTTTGGATATTTAGTGGTTGGAGTTGGTGTTAAGATATCCAAGAATTTCATGATTGTTTGGAACTGAAGGTCTTTTTGGCTTTGAATTTTATGATTTCGATTGGTATATGGTTAGAGGTAGGTTTCTTCTTAATCCTTTCCTCATCCTTTATGGCTTTCCCGAATTGAATTAAAACGGTTAAGCGGTTGTTGATTATGAAAAGGCCCATTCCAGAACATGATTTGCTCGCATACCTTGTAACCTGTCGTTGTTGTTTTCATCTCGATTAGTGTTTTTTAGCGGGATGCATCCGTCAAAGTTATTTTCTAATATTTTCTTTATGCTCAGGCGATAACTTGAGTTGATGCTCAAGCAGCCCCGGACCAAGTCAAGTCAGCAAACAATTGAATTAGAAACTTGTTGGATTTTGTTCTTGAAGTGTGTACCCCAGTATCACTTTGCTGGTTGCTACCCGTTGGGATTCCTAGAGGGTTTTATTCTTTGATGGGAGACGGAGCAGTTTGCGTCGAATCATTAGCAGATAGAATAGGTGAAGACGATGAGTTATCAGAACGGACCTGAAGAGGGACTGCCAATGTTTTTACTGATACTGAACTTGCCCCCTCCCTAATAAGAAACAAGCGAAGGAAGTCTCAAAACGACGACGTGCGCTCTGAGGTTTCCAATCCCAATATTTCTTCAAAAGAGAATGTTTTAGCTTTTCAAGATATTAGTAGCCAGC